GAGTAGTTTTTTCCCCTAAAGGGTTTAGTTTTTCAAGAACTTGCAAGATGATAATAGAGGGCAAAACCTGAATGGATACAGAAAGTTTACAGAAATGAAATTTATTTTCTTTGGACTATACATAATATCTGTAATCAGTGACTCTTAAAAGAAGTAATGAAATGTGCTAAAACTCTGGCGACATCAGTTTAATTTTGGTGAGTTAATTAATAACATATGTTAAAGTATGAGAATACTTTCTTGCCTAATATTACATTAATGCAAGGCTCAAATTGTTTTCTCTCTATTCAAATAACAAATTGCTCTTAGAGTGTTTGGTCGGCTCTAAACAAGAAATAGTAAAAGTTATTTTCCATCACCCACATAGTTTTCTCAGAGAGCAGGGATTCTATATCTCATCATCATAACTTTTTGTGCTCTAGGTTGAATTTGTTATGTCCTTGATTATTTAAACAAACAAGCAAAAGTTCCTCATGGCTGAACGAGTTCAGGTTTCTTACAATTGTGTTCCTTTCTGCTGTTTGTATTGTTTAGGTATTCCACTGTTGCTCTTATAGAAGCTTCAACCATTTTTTTTGTTTCTGGCTTCCATGCTGCTATCCTAAACTAATGATCAATTTCTCTGATAACTTTTAATTTTGCCTTCTCAAGATCAAATGTTTAATTCAGAACAATAAAATTTTGAAGATGTATTTTACCCTAAACTATTTTTGGTGTTTCCCAGAAAGATTTTTCATTTACTTTAGAGAAAGAGGAACGCTAACTAAAAGAAGAAGAAGAAGAAGAAGAAGAAGAAGAAGAAGAAGAAGAAGAAGGAGGAGGAGGAGGAGGAGGAGGAGGAGGAGGAGAAATTAAAGTTTTATTTGGTGTGCTTCATATTCTTAATTATCTCAAGGCTATTTTAAGAGCTGCATGGGAAGAGCTGTCAAATCAAAAGAGGAATTCAACCATCCCTACCTTAATTACGTATTGGCAAAATCTTACTAATATAAACACATTTCAGAGATTGTACACTCTATACAACACATTGGAAGCTGGTGGAGGTTTGTCAACGCCCTCACTGTCCATAAATTGTCCTTGCTCTACAGAAAACATCCATCAAATCCTCATAAGATAGTCTGCATTACTCTTCCATAGGTAGCATTACTCTCCTCCATTATGATGTTGCTGGTTATAGTAATAAATTAGCTGTAGCCATTCAACATTGTCAATTGTAAGTTTTCTGTTGCCTTCTGATGCTTGCCTGAAGACTCTGTTATAAGTTACGTGGTAAAAAGGAACAAACAAACAAACCAAAGAAAACAAACAAACAAATGTGTCTTCAACAAAGAAGATAGTCTGAAAGCTTCATGAAAGGCATTGCACCAAGTATTTTAAAATACTATTATTTCAAGGAACAGACTCATGAGTATGGGCTTCTGAGCAGACATTGCTTAGACAACCATCAGCTCTATTATCAGACTGACTGAGGATTTCCAGGACTATTCCAGTCCAGACACACAGAACATCATGAAATCTGAATGCTGTCCCAACATGCAGCTGACCAAGAATGAATAAACTGATGAGGGAAATGAACTTGCACTTACTGGTTTGGAATAGTACAGGTATTGTTTTTCCACCCTGTGTCCTTGGCTACAGTAGAGTCCAGTATTTGGTGCCCATAGAACCAGCTGGGTGCCACTGCTCTTGATGGAATCTCTGGCACACTGGGCCATACCCTCTAGACCCCATCAGTCCAGGTCCCCTCAAAGCACGTCCCACCAAAACCTCTCTCTTCTCCAGTCTGATGATTTTCATGGGATGCTGGTGGGCAGGGAGAAGTGAAGGGCTGCCACCTCCCGGGAGATAAAGTTTGTCCTTCCCTTCCCTTCCCTCTGACACCACCCTCTTTATTTTTAAGTAACACTGATTGAGACCTTCTTATATGCCAAACAGTTTTCTGGGTGCAAGTAATACAGCAGTGCATGTATCCTGCCCTCTCTTAATGAGAACCCTTAGCTATGGGCTGGTTCTTTACAGCTGAGATGCTTCCCCTGATAGACTATATTGATTGAAGAACATAGCAATCTCCACCCCTCCTTATATCCATTCTCTCCACAATAGCACTTTGTAGCTGTTCTCATCAAAAGGTGGAGTCTGTTTCCTGACTCCTTGAATCGGGGCTGCGTTGTGATCTACTTTGCCCATTGGGATGCAGCAGAAGTGATGCTTCGGTTCCAAAACTAAGACTCCAGAGTCCTTGCACTCTACCAGTTACTCTCTTGGAACCCTGCCCACATACTATGTGAACAAGCCCAGGGCACCCTACCATGGCCCAGTCATCCCCATTGTCCCAGCCCATAGCCAGCGAAATGTAACACATGGCAGTGAGGCTGTCCTAGACCAGCCAGCTCCCAGCCAACCCACCAACTGACCACAAATGCATGAACAAGCCCAGTTCAGATGAGCCAAGCCTGGTCAGACCAAAAAAATCACCCACCTGACCATAGACACAAGAGCTATAATGATAGATGTTTATTGTTTAAGCCATTGGGCAATGAGCGTGGTTTGTTACACAGCAATAGCTAACGGACATACCTGGGGATCGTATCTACTTTTCTCAACAACTCTAGGGTCTTACAAAAAATTAAGTAATTGCTTTCTCTTACCACACTAAGTTTGCACAGCTCTAAGTGACAGAATAGAGTGGGATTCAATCTATTGAAAGAAAATGTTGTTGTTTTTTTTATAAAAACAGGAATTTCCAAGGTCTCACCTAGGTTCTCTATTCTACTATTGTCTCACCTAGGTTCTCTATTCTGCTATTGTCAGGTTGCTAAAAATCAGATGATGTGAAATACATAATGTTTAATAAAAGAGTATATATTGTGTGATTTCATTGATATGAAACTCTAGAATAGGCAAAACCAATCACTAGTGAAAGAAAGAAGATCATTAGCTGCCTGGGGACAAGGATATGGGGTAGACTGCAAAGGGAAACCAGGGAACTTTTGGGGGTGATGGAAATGTACTCTATCTTGATTGGAATGGTAGTTACCTAGGTATTTATATTTGTCAGAAGTCATGACTACTTTTTAAATAGGTGCATTTTATCATCTAAATATTATACCTCAATAAAGTTGATTTTTTAAGGTTAAAGAAAAACTTGGGTTGGTGAAGCGATGGAGAAAAGGGATCCTTATGCTCTATTGATGGGGATGTAAATTGGTATCCAAATACTATGTGTCTGACATTTGGGTGACTATGGAAAACAATACGGAGGTCATTCCAAAAATTAAAAATAGAACTACCATATGAGCTCGCAATCTCACATCTGCTTATTTACCCAGAGGACATGAAAACAGGATATTCAAGAGATATCTGCACTCCCATGTTGATTGCAGCTTTGTTCCCAATAGACAAGATATGGGAACAACCTAAGTATTCATCAATGGATGAATAGGTAAAGAAGATGTGGTATATATGTACAATGATATATTATTCAGTATTGGAAGGAAGTCCTGACATTTGTAACAACATGGGTGGACCTTAAAGGCATTATGCTAAGTGAAATGAGTGAGACAGAGAAAGACAAATACTGCATTGCATCACTTATTTGTGAAATCTAAAGAAAAAAAATGTCAAATTCATACAAACAGAGAGTAGAAAATTGTTGCCAGGGGCTGGAGGTGGGGAAAATAGACAGAAGTTGGTAAAAGGGTACAAACTTTTATTTATAAGATGAATAAGGTCTGAGGATCTAATGTAAAACATAGTGACTATACTTGATAACCCTGTCTAGTATAATTAAACTTTGCTAACAGAGCAAAGCTTAAGTGTTTGAACCAAAAAGAAAAAAAGATAAATATGTGAGGTTATGAATGTGTTAATTAACTGGATGGGTAAAATCATTCATATATATATATATATATATATATATATATATATATATATATATATATATATATATATATATATATATATATATATATCACGTTATATACCTTAAATGTCTTACAATTTTATATGTCTATTATACCTCAGTAAAGCTGAAATTTACTTAAAAAGAAACACTTAGAAACTCTATGTAGTCTTTTGAAAGTTAAGGAGAAAAAAAATTCAAAATGATGGAAGTACTCCAATCTCTCAGGGCTTATTTCTCTGCCACAGACACTTCTTGTTAGTGCTGTCTAGGGAACGACCCCCCTCTGCCATCCCTGCTATTTCCATGGCTGAGGGGTCTACAAGAAGCAGCTCTGAGATGTCCTAGCTGGTTTTGCTCAGGCTGGCCTCACAGATCCAGCGGTAGGGCCTCTGGCAGACATCATCGTTCCATCTGCCATCAGAGTGGAAGTGGGCACAGTCCTCGCCTCCACCTAGCCCGTGCCCATGCCAATCATCTGGCTGGCCTGGCTTCCAGTTCCTGAGGGGAGAGGGCAACAGCAAGCTTAGAAGGTGAGAAGGAACAGAATCTAGGTCTGGGAAGATGGGGCTGTGGATCAGGTCCTTGAGGAGCAGAGCTGAAGGAAGAAGACAGGCACAGAAAGCCAGGGTGTACTCACTTGAAATTAGTCTCATATTCTGTCCCATCCACCCATTTCCAGATTCCTTTAGGATCACTGAGGCCCATCCAGGTATATGAGGAGCCTGTATGTTCCTGTACAAAATTCTGGGATGACAGAAGGACAATGGTGACTTCTTCCCATCCCAGCCAAATCCTTGGACTAGGAATCTAAACTTTAGATGTTCATTAAATCAGTTGAGGAGATTTGGTGCCCAGTGCCCAAGCAAGTTACTATCATGTATCACTTACAAGAATAGGCAATTTTGTCTTAGAAATATCATTGAATGAACTTACACAAACCTAGATGGTATAGCCTACTGCACACCTGGGCTATATTGTATAGCAGCTATACATGAGGCTCTTTAGGTACATTCTGTCTCAAAAGTTTGCTGACCCCTGGAAGAGCCAATCTTGTCCCTCACAACAATTTAAAACTTATTCGAGAGCCATAAATATATTTTTACATAATCACCATTATGTGAGTAATATCCTTTAAAAATTTTATAAATGAAGCTATGATAGTTTTATTTTCATTTCAATTTTACTTCAGGGTCATGTGCTCACAAGCTGCAGTTTGCTGACCCCTGGCGGCTCTTCTGTCTCAAAAGTTTGCTGACCCCTGGTATAGCCTATTGCTCCGAGGCTACAAACCTCAGTACTGCATGTTACTGTACAAAATAACACGAGATTAAATCAAGCACAAGAAATGACGCACTCAAGAGACACTGTAAACACAAGATGTATGAGGCTGCTGCCAGCATAGCACGGCATACTGTTTAACAGTAAACTTTTATAAGTAGAAAGAATATGCTCTAAAATAACAATAAAAAGTATAGTATTATAGATACATTACCCAAAACATAGTCATTTATTATCATTACTAAGTATTATGTACTGTACATAATTGTATGTGCTGTACTTTTATATGTATAGGACTGGTTGCAGCACAGTAGGTTTGTTTACACCAGCACCAGCACAAACACGAGAGTAATGTGCTGCACTATGACGTTACGATGGCTCCAACTCACTAGGCATAAGGAATTTTTCAGCTCTATCATAATCTTACGGGACAAAGTCAAACATGTGGTCAATTGACTGAAATTGTCATTATGTGGCATGTGACTGTAAATTTGAGGGTGTGACTGAGTTGACAGTGTTTTTAAAGCTCCCTAGGTGATTCCAATGTGCAGCAATGGCTGAGAAACATTTCCTTAAGTGGCATATGTCTTGGGACCTGAGCACTGGAGACCTCACCTGCTCCTCTCTCGAGTTGATGACCACCAAGTGCGCGTTCTCCAGCTGGCAGTACTTCTCAGCAGCAGGCCAGGGCTTCCCAGTACGAGAAAACCAGTAGCAGCTGCCTTCATGCTCCAGCCAGTTAACGGGACAGCAGGTATTTTGAGTGTCTGAGGGGCCAGGGTCGGGGAAGGTGTGAGATGCTGCCCAGTGGGATGTGGGCAGAAAATGGGGCCAGGCAATCCCCTGAACACCCCTCACCATTGCTCTTGAGAACAGCCATCTCGCAATTCAGAGAGATCAGATCTTTGGCCAGCTGCTGGACTCGCAGGAGCATTTTGGAATAATCTGGGACACACACAGATGAGCAGTGAGGACAGTGCAGGGGGCCCAGCCTAGTACCCTCCATGCCCTCCCACCACATCATGTCCAGGTGGAGGGGAGAAGGAGCCTCACCTTCTTTGAGTTCCTGCTGTTCTTTCTCCAGCTTGCTCTTTAGAGACAACACCTTGTCATTCAAGCTGTGGGCTGGAGGGGAGGGCGCTCAGCACCCCAGGCTGCTCCCACCCTCCTGTGTTCTGAGAGCCTGCCCCCATACCCCTTGCACACACACACTTGGAGAGTCTCTCACCTGCTTGCAGTTCGTGCTCATGGTTTTCTACCTTGGCTTTCAGAAGTGTTATGGTTTCTTGCAAACTGCCATCTGAAGTACATGGGACTCAGTGCTGGACAGTCAGCTCCCACCCCCTTCCCCACCACAACCCATCCCAGTCCAGAGCCCCTTCCAGCCAGGCTCACCCTGGGAGTGCAGTTCCTTAATCTCAGCCGTAGTGTTAGAAGTGACATTGCTGAAATTTGTTCTCAGAGTCATCAGGTCCCTCTGAAACTTGGAATCTGGTCAAGTGGATGAGACAATCAGTGCTGAGATTTATCAAGCCCTCCCTGAGCCAGCACTGAGCAGGACACTAGACATGCATTGTCTCACAGGGTCTTCACAGCCACCCAATCCAAAGGGACAGGCACTATTGTTATCCACGATCTCAGATGAGGAGACGAAGGCTTAGAGAGTTTTGGTAATTTGGCTACATTACCCACAAATAAGTGACAGAGCCAGCAGCCACCCTTACCCATCACGATAGCCACTGGTGCCCCCATCATTGTACCCTACTATTGCCCTTATCCCTGTGACCCTGTGACTCTCACTTTCACTGTGACTGCGGGATCCGATCACGCAGATGCCGACCAGCAGGAGAAGGCTGAGGCCCAGGCAGAACAGGAGGGGGCGGGCTCCAGAGCAGAGATGCTGCAGGAAGGGCTGGGGAGGACACATCCCTGCAGGAGGAGAAGAGGTCAGGACAAGGAGTTCCAGGCCATGAGAGAAACAGCACAGGAGGAAATGGCCACAGGGACCTGTCACGGATGGAGGCTGGTGCAGGTAAAGCTTGGGGGAGGCTGAACGAGGAGGATTGTGGGCAGGGGATGTCAGGCCTCTGACCCCTCATGGAACATCACAAGTCCTTAGTTACATGGTCCCCTCACACTCCTGAGGACACACACACACACACACACACAAGGACACGCAGACAAGGGACGATGGCGATATGTAAGGTCCTATCATCAGGGCTGGGAGAGGGGACAGAGTGAATTCTGGCAGCCAGGCCCTCAGCAGGCTCACACTCATTTGTAGTGTCAGGTTACCAAATGTTTCCCTTCCAAACACAGCTATCCACTCCCCCATCAGTAAATAGTCATGTCCTCCCCCAGAGTACAGGCAGCCAGGCCCACTGTGGTCCCCCCTGTCCCTGTCTTTCTAAGGACCTTGAATCCTCTTCATACTGGAGCTCCCAGGGGCTGGGGGCTGACCCCCTCAGAGTGGCGACCCCACCACTGCACATGGTAGAGGTGCATACACGACACCACAGCAGAAATCCTAAACATATTAAGAGAGAATTTTAGGAGACATCGTTTCTCTTGTCCTCTTACCATTTCTAAGCCACCAGCTCTTCTTGTCACTCTCCACGGAATGGAAGTTTTCATACTTCATTGACATACTTGAACTAAACTGTGAGGCTGTCAGAGCTGAAATGGAGACAGGGCCAGCGCTAAGCTGGTGCTGGTGTTGGGGCACAAGGAGGTTGGGACTAGGTTGGAGCTGAGGTCAGGGCTAGAGTTGAGGTAAGAGTTGAGGTTCAGGTTGAGAATGAGCCAGGGGTTAGGGCAAAGAATGGGAATGAGCCTCGATTTGCAGCTGTGATTAGCAGAGTGTTCAAGAATGGACTTTGGGCCGAGTAGAGCTGAGCATGGGATTGGAGGTGGAGGTCAAACTGCAAATAAATGTATTGCTAAGACGGGGTCTGATGTTGGGGCTGAAATTGAGGATGAGCCTCCTGCTAGGACTGGGGTCAGTACTCATGTTGATGCCATGGATGGAGTGGGGCCTAAGCTTGGAGCTGAAGTTGGAAATAGAAGAGAGTTGGGGTTCAGCTTTGGGTTGGAGCTGATGTTAAGATTGAAGTTGACCCTGGAGTTGAAGCTGTGGTTGGGGGTTAAAGGAGGAGCTTGGGTTCGTATTGGGGTTATGCTGGGCTGCGATCTGAAGTTAGGGCTGGAATTGGCGAGAGATGGGGCTGAGTTTGAGTCTCAGTTTGTGACTGAAGATTGGCTGCCATACTTCAACCCGAATCCAGCAAAAGGAATAGAGTCTAAAATCTCCACTCAGTCATTAGATCTTCAGGCTGACCCTTATGTCTCTTTCCATTCAGTCCCACCTGAGACCAACACTCCCCTCTCTCTGCTTTCGCTAACTCCCTCCCTGTCCCCTTGGTCTCACCTGCATCCCCAGCCCAGTTACCTGTGCAAATTCTGAAGGCTTTGATTCTTTGGTTCGTTGTGCAGCAATGAGCAGAGTTGGAAAAAACTAAATCTTGGAGTGTGGGATAGAGGTGACTGAGGAAAGAGTCACATAAATGCCCAGAGTCCTGCTGGTCTCTGTGCCTGAAAGTCCAGAAGTCTGTAATCTGGGATTTTTTTTATTTCCTCAACTTTGGGCAGTAAATAATAATCGGAACCCAGGCAGAGATTGTGTGATTGGGGGAGTTAGATATGGGGAAAACTTTGCTTTCCTCCTCCAGGATGTGTCCCTCCCTTTCCGCTTTTTAGAGCTTTCTTGACTTCCTCATTTTTACCATTTGGGAGAGGGGAGCTGGACCAGCAGGGATCAGAGGTACAGCCTGTTGCTTCTTCTCTGCCCCACATCCCTTTTCACTTCCTGCATCCGAGTTTCTTAGAATTGTTGATATCTCCATCATCGCACACCCGGGTTTAGAGGATCCTCTTTCTCTGCTCTTGCTCAGTTATGACCCGAATTCCAGTCATCTCAGCTTCCTCTGGAGCCTCAGCCATTAAGCTTCCCCAGCTCTGGCCTAGCTCCCCTCACTCCACGTACAAGGAGGGACGGGAGTGACAGAGAGTACGAGTTTCTGGCTGGAATGAGATAGGAGCAGCCGGGGATAGGAGCAAACTTTTATTGAGCATCACATCTGGGGATGGCGGCAGACACTTGTTGTACATTAATTATTCAGTTCCCTTCAAGAACCATGGGAAGCATTTTGGATGATTAATGCTATTGCAAAAGTAATTTTGAACTTGCCAACCCCTGAAGGCTTGAGGGACCTTAAGGAGTTCACGTTCCACACACTGAGAAACTTGGTGTAAAATAACTAATATTTTATAATTATCTTGTATGTAGCCACATTGACAAATTCTTTTGTTAGTTACAGAAGTTTTTTGTTTGTTTTTTTAAATAACAGCTTCTTGTATTTTAAAGTGTCAATTATAATGTCAATGATTACAGAAAATTATGTCAAAACATTTTATTTTGTTATTTTCCTGCATGTATTATATTTTCTAACTTATACATTATATTTTTAATGTCAGTTAAATTTGATTTAACTCAATAATGAGGGAGTCAATATGATGGTAAAGCTAATAATGAGGAATATAAAATAGACAGAAATATTGATAGTAATAGAAAAAAAGTTTGCTGGAATAAGATTCCTAAATTAGATGCAATATTTACTTGCCCTACACTGCAATAAACCTGTAATCTTTGGGTAATCTTTCCTACCAGGCAGAATTCATTTGCATTGCTATTGGACAAGAATCATTTGCCTTGCTATTAGCTTTTTTATAGAGTCTTAACATATAGTAATCAATATTACAAATAACTCAAACGAATGTCTGTCCCCCTAGAGAGATAATTCTTGAGTGGGTCTCTTAGACAGTATTCTAGTATAGCAATTATAGACATGCCTTCACTGTTTTGCCTATCTCTAAGTTTTGGATATTTTTTCTAAGACGTTCCCTTGTGATCATAAATAATCTCAAAACATTTTTCTTTATCACTACAAAAACCTGGTATGTGTCCTGATTCATCTACATAGTGCAACATGAAGTAGCAATAAACATATATAAGCCTTCTGTAGGATGGTCAGCATATCTAGAGCTATATGGTGTTAGACTACCAAAGTCTAGGAAAATTTTATCTATGGAGCATTAGAAAACTTAGTTAAGTTGTGATACAATTGTGAATAAGTTTCAAGATGAATTATCTTTTTTTTTTTAAAGATTTTATTGGGGAATTGGGGGAGGGGAACAGTATTGGGGAATTATGAAAGGGGAACAGCCAAGTTGTTGTCCTTTTGTTCTTCAGTCTAGTTGTGGAGGACGCTGCTTCACTGGCCCATGTTGGTATTATGATCATTGCGCTCTTCCCAGCTGAGGCAGTCTCTCACCGGCCTTTGGATAGCCGCTCACAGCTGCTCTCGCCGGCTGCCGGCCATTCACGGTAGCTCACAGCAGCCCATGGCAGCCCATGGCAGCCCACTGCAGCCTATGCTGTCGCCAGCCACTCACAGCAGCCCAGCTCCAGGTCAAGCTGTTGTTCACAATCTTAGCTGTAGAGGGTGCAGCTTACTGGCACATGTGGGAATCGAACCAACAGCTGTGTTGTTCAGAGCTGGCGCTCTTACCAACTGAGCTACTTGACCGGCCCAGAGATGAAATTGTCTTTACTGAAACAATTCAAATATCCGCTGGCACCTAATATTCAGTTGTCCACTTATCAAATGATTTTTTTTTTAAGCTGAGCCATCCTGCTACCTGTTGGCAGTTCAGCGGCTGCTCAGCTTGGGCTGGACTCGAACCGCTGTTGCTCAGAGCTCAAACTCTTGAGCGAGCTCTTAACCAACTGAGCCACTCGGCTGGCCCTCTCAAATGCTTTCTTTTAAATTCCTATCCACAAAGATAATAAAAAAGAATTTGCCTTCAGGTGGCAGGCACAGCAGTGCACATTCATTCTCTCACCTATGTCAATGCTACTGTTCTCTATCATAATATATGGGCTATGTCAACTCCCCTGTCAACTCTATGCCAACTCTACTGTTGTCTATCATGATATAGTCTTGAGGGCACCTGGGACTTTTATCACCTGATGTTGCACATAATATCATGATGATATATTGATAACATTGTACGAATTTGACTAGATGAGGAGGAAGGAGCAGGCACCCTTGATATATTTCTAAGACACATGCATGCTAGAGGAGGGGAATAAACTCTGCTAACATTTCAGTGGTCTTGGGTATGTCAGGCTGCCCTTCAAAAGTTAGATAGATCCAAGTTGCCACACTTGCACTACCCATCAGGAGGAAAAAGGCAAGATGCTTTGAATGTCCTTAAATTTTTGAGAAAATGTATAGCACATGTCGTTTGTTGCTCTGAACCATTAACTGGATAACCCATAAGGCTACCAGTGCTATGGTAGGCCTAGAGCAAGAAAAGGTTTTGTATCAGATCTAGACTGAAGGGTAAGATTTTCTACTATTCAGGCCTTACAACTGAGCCGACATAATGGTATTGGAAATGTCTATGGCAAGTAAGGGTACTATTTTTTTTTTAAGATTTTTATTAGGGAATTGGGGGATGGGAACAGCGCTGGGGAATTGGGGAAAGGGGAACAGATAAATTGCTGTCCTTTTGTTCTTCAGTCTAGTTGTGGAGGACGTTGCTTCACTGGCCCAAGTTGGTACCATCATCGCGCTCTTCCCGAGTTAGGCAGATCAGTCGTTGGCTTCTGGACGGCCGCTCACGCTGGCTGCTGGCTACACATGGTAGCCCATGGCAACCCACTGCCACAGGGGCTGCAGCCTATGCCATCGCTGGTGACTCATGGCAGCCCAGCTCCAGGTTGACCTGTTGTTCAGCATCTTAGCTATGGAGGGCAGTGTCACTGGCCCTCATATGTGGGATCTGAACTGGGGTCCTCTGGCGTCCCAAGCCAGTTCTTAACCATCACACCACTCGGCCGGCCCAACAGTCAGATTTTTAAGCAGTATATTTGGTTGTCCATTTTAGGTGGAAGGATATATGACCTGAAGTATGGAATTATATTGATTAATGAAGAGTGGTTTACTGAGTTAACTAGCTGGTCAGTGCCTTGGGAAGAACGAAATTAGAAAATTGTTCACCAGTTTTTTTTTAAGATTTTTATTAAATATACCTTACATACGATACTATATTATTTTCAGGTATACACCATAGTTATTTAACATTTACATACCTAAAAAAGTGATCACCATGGTAAGTCCAGCAACCATCTGACACTGTACCATGCTATCACAATATTATTGACTACTCGTATATTCCCTATGCTATACATTACATCCCTAAGACTTATTTGTTTCATACCTGGAACTTTGAGCCTCTTATTCTCCTTCACCTCCCCTCCTTCCATTTTTAGTTTTTCAATTACAGTTGACATTCAATATTATTTTATATTAATTTCAAGTGTACAGCATAGTGGTTAGACATTTATATAATTTGAGAAGTGAGAGCCAGCCAAGTGGCGTGTTGGTTAAGAGTTGGCTTGGGATGCCAGCTCTGAGCAGCAGGGCTCCGGTTCGGATCTCACATGAGGGCCAGTGATGCTGCGTCCTCTACAGCTAAGATGGTGAACAACAGCTCGACCTGGAGCTGGGCTTCCATGAGTCACCAGCGATGGCGTAGGCTGCAGTGGGGCTGGCTGGCAGCTGGCGTGTGCTTTCGTGAGCTGCTGTGAGTGGCCGTCCAGTGGCCGGCGACCGATATGCCTCACCTGGGAAAAGCGCAATGATGATACCAATGTGGGCCAGTGAAGCGATGTCCTCCACAACTAGACTGAAGAACAAAAGGATAGCAACTTGTCTGTTCCCCTTCCCCGATTCCCCAATGCTGTTCCTCTCCCCCAATTCCCCAATAAAATCTTTAAAAAAAAGTTATTCTCCTCACTAGTCTAGCACCTAGCTGACAGTATACATAGTTATTACCATATTATTAATTATATCCTCTATGCTTTACATCCCCATGACTATTTTATAACTATCAATTTGTACTTCCTAATCCTTTCACCTTTTTCACCCTGCCTACAACCCTGGTCCCATCTATCACCCTGATAAATACAGTACCCATCTGACACTATACTTAGTTATTATCATATTATTGACTATATTCCCTATGCTATAACCTACATCCCCATGACTACTTTGTAAGAACCAATTTGTACTTCTTAGTCCCTCCCCCCTTTTCACCCAGCCCCACACCTCCCCTCCCATTTGGCAACCATTAAAATGTTCTCTGCATCTATGAGTTTACTTCTGTTATGTTTGTTTCTTCATTTTGTTCTTTAGATTCCACATACAAGCAAAATCACATTGCATCTGATTTTCTCTGTCTGACATACTCCACAATTCCCCCCAGGTCCATCCATGCCACTGCAGATGGCAAGAACCCATTTCCTTCCATGGCGGAGCAATATTCCATTGTATAATATATATGTACCACCTCCTCTTTATCCATTCATCCATTGAAGATACCCAGGCTGCCTCCACATCTTGGTCATTGTAAACAATGCTGCAATGAGCATATGAGTGAACACAACCCTTCAAAATAGTGTTTGGGTTTCTTGGATAAATACCCAGAAATGGGATTACTGGGTCCTTCCTTGTTTCTTGTTATAGCCTTTGTTTTAAAGTCTATTT